CATGGTTCTAAATTCGGAAGAAAACAAACACAAACACAACCACAAGAAAAGGGCATTCATTTTACTTCTTGACACATTATTTAGATATATAAGAGAGTAACAATTAATTCCAACACACCATAAGTTAAAAAAGGTCGAGCATTGTATCAAGGTGTGAGTTTACCTTTGCAGCTTGCTTAGGAATAGCCGGGCATGTAGTTGTACTACTAATTGCTCTTGGGGACAGTCCATCAAACTCATTGCTATCTCGAGGGTAATCTATAATGACATATTCTACTTTGAGCCCCGTTCTCATTGCTGTTTTCACTGTGGTGCGAATTCCACCCATTATGTATTGTAATTTGTATGTATGTCAATCACCCCAAAAACTGTCTTTGACTCCTTATTCACAATTTTCACACAAAAGCCAGGCACTTGAAATATTAACAATGCTATTAAATCATTAGTTCATATGATCAAAGTCTTAATCCATAACATACTACCAAAGTACTATCAATTCCGATCAAGACCGAAGCTGTAATCCATAATAACTCGACGAGATTAAGCTGTGAATCATGAAAGCAGCCGAAACCCATGAATCAGAAACATCCAATCTAAAATAACATAAAATTTAAAATTAAACCCAGTTCCAACATATTGGAAAGACTTAAACATTGAATGTGTGTGTGGAGAGAGAGAGAGAGAGAGAGAGAATTATTCCAAAACCCAAATCACTTCATTTCACAAGTTTCAATCCTTTTTTGATTTCATTCATGGGCTGCTCTTCTTCAAGACCTCTCACCCTTCTCACCAAAAACCCAGAACAACAACCTTCACTACCCTCCTCTTCCACTGCTCTTACTTCTTCAACCCCAAACTCTTCATCTGCCTCAAACTCTTCCAATTCCTCACCACCATTACCACCACCAGCCTCATTTCCCAGAGCTCTCTCCGTCTCAGCCCCTCTTGTTCATCACCCACCTCTCAGAAAAGGCGACACTCACCACCTTGTTTCTCTCACCTCCACTACCTATGGCTCCCTCCGCATTGACCCCACATCCCCCAAGACCCTCAATCTGAACGGTCAGGATTCTCCTGATCAATCCTACCCCCCCAAACGCTCCTCATCTTCCCCTGACTCTGTCATCAACACTTGGGAACTCATGGATGGCCTCAATGAATCTGATTTCCATTCTCATTTCTCTGAAGAACAGCCCATTTCCTCCATTTTTGACCACACAATTGGGTTTTCCAACAAAGCCAGTTCTTGCAGGTACTCAGGCTTTGATGGTTCTGTGAAGAAACCGTTTGATTCTTTCAAATCAGTGAGATCTTCAGTAATAAAGGCGGAGGACTCAATGCCTACCTCATCCTCTTCCTCGTCTTCTTCGAAGCCTCTGTGGAAGCATTTATCGGAGGAGTCTTTGTTGTCGAACCGATATTTAATTATGTAAAGAAAAAGATATCTTTATCAAAGTTCTTTATCTTCCATATATAATATGATTTCGTGAAGTACCATCTTCGTGTAGCTATACCTTAAGACTTAAGTTACAAAAGGATTTCTCTAATTCGATCTCAAAATTTGTATTTGATCCCAAAAAAGCAAGCCTCTAGAAAGTTCACAAGTGGACGTGGGTGTTGCGTGAGTGAGATCAATACCTTTTAGTTCCACAGCAAAAATACAACTTAACTTCATGAACTGAAGTTACATGGAAAAAAAATTTCCATTGACTAGGATTGTTTTTTTGTTTTTTGTTTTAATCAAAAGAAACTTCAACAATACAATCAAAAACATCAACATGACATCTAACGCACCAATCCCAAAAGGGCAACAAACTAACATGCTAAAAACAAAACTAAAACTCACAAAAGCCGCACTAAAACTACTAGCCCACATCACCACAATTAAGCATACACTCAAACAAAGCCCACAAACCGAAAATAACCAAAACCCTAAAGCTACCCAAAAACGTAAGCGAACCACCACCACGTGAACAAGAGTCATCACTACCACACCCACCACTGCATT